TTTACACAGGAATCTGCTTATGAAGTTTACGTCAAAATTACAGAAAAATCTCCACCTACAGAGTAAGTGATTTAACATAATGTGTGGTTGCTATTGGTTACAGGGCGAGAGAGGCGTGGCTTAGAATAGGACTATATCATAGAAGACAGAGTCAATATGACGAAGCTATTAAATGGTAGCTACATGTACATGTACAATTTACAATGTCATATATTTTATAGTTATTTGAAAGTTTTGCATCAGAACGTTTCTGATAGGTAAGCCACACCCACTAATGTCACGCCCACTTATGTACATGTACGTACATGTATCATGTAGCAATGTATGGGAGTGCTTAGGTGAGGCTTATCTCTCAAGAGGTAGTAACATTGCAGCAATGAAAGCATTTGAAAAAGCAACTGAAGTACATGTGTACATTACAATATTATAGTGATCTCTTCCTCTTTTTGTTTCTCTCTCTCTCTTTCCTCTCCTTATCCTCTTAGCTCAATCCACAGTCTATATTCTCACAATACCAGTCAGTCTATACACATTATATTATATTCCGTTCTATGTACATATGTACATGTACTAGGGTAGCAGCTATGCAACAGTTGATTGGTCTATTATCTGAAGCTGTTGCCAGCTACACACGAGTCCTTGAGCTGCAGGATGATTATGTACCAGCTTTGAAAGGTAATGGAGGAATAGTTGATTATTGTAGTTGAGTGGTAGAGTTTCCCACAAAGCATGCTAAGTGAGCTAAACAGCATGAGCTTCATGAGCTGACAAGCATTGCAATACAGTACATGGCATTTGGAGCAACTTTAAAAATTCATAAAAAATCCAAACTTGATCGGAATTAGCTCAAACTTTCTATGTAGCATAAGTACATGTATATCTATCAGAAAAAATTATAAAAATAGAGAATTCTTTCCTAGCCATTTTTGATGAAATTTGACCAAAATCCCTGTACTATAGCACAGGGTGTTTGGCCCGATTTTTGAACAACTTTAAAAGTTCATAAAAAATCCTAACTTGATCAGAATCAGCTCAAACTTTCTATGCAACATAAGAACATGTATATGTATCAGAAAAAATATTAAAATGGTAAATTCTCTCCTTCCGATTTTTCATAAAATTTAGCCAAAATCCCTGTACTAAAGAACATAAAAA